GGACTCAGCACAGCTCTGTCATTTATTTATACTGCATTTGGGGAAAGGACTTATTTAAATAACGGGACAGGAGAGATTCCCTCAGGGAAAAGACTGACTTGCAAAGGTCTCATACTACATGGGGTGCTCCTTGTTGCTCTGCACTGTGGATCATTTTTTAAGGTGATGAAACAGCTTTGGCAAGTGATACTTGATGACATTAGCAGCTCGCTCCCAAGCCTTCTATTCAGTGATCTCTCTGAGCATTTCTGAACCCTTCTCCTCCCTGTGCAATCTGCTTGAGAATCAACTAACTTTTTTTTAAACATATCTCAAGGGGGCTGTTAAGGCAGACAGCTGCATTACAACTGATGTAATCCTAAATCATGTCCAAGACGTGTTAGCCAACTCAACTGTACAGGCAAGGAGAGACTTACATCATTTTGTCTTCTTCTAATGGCCTTTCTAGCAATTGCCCACAGGGCTGTTCCAGGAATTGTTATGTGTCTTTGATGTAAGTTCCTGTAGCCCTCATCAATACAGTGATAATGGCTATGTATGGAGAGCATTCTCTTTGCTGTCATTGTGCAGTCTGATTTCATCCCTGTCTTCAGTTAGTGAGGAATCCAAAAAAAAAAAAAAAAGACGTGCCCTATGAACCTCATTCTACCACAGGAGGAGGCAGCCTAATCCAGTGGATAGGATACTATGCTTGGATTCAGAACTCCTGGGTTCTATTTCTGATTCTTTCTGACTTCAGACAAAATTTCATCTCTCTGTACCTCAGTTTTCCCATCTATAAGATGGGGATAATATGGAAAGCCCTTTGAGATTTATGGATCACGAAAGCTTATGCTCAAATAAATCTGTTAGTCTCTAAGGTGCCACAAGTACTCCTTTTCTTTTTGCGGATACAGACTAACACGGCTGCTACTCTGAAACCTGTCGTTGGGCAAATAACGCCTTTGTTCCTCCATGCAGTATGCTTAGGCATGCAATAAGAAGGCATCCAGTTTGATGGAAATTGGGAACAGTCCAAAATGCCTTTCTTTTGAAATAAGAAGTGGTGATGGGAGGTGCAGTATACACATTTTCCATTGATCAGTCAGATATGGGTTGCATAGAGAGACTTAAAGAGCAGAAGTGCCATGTGAGTACTAAGTGGTGTTGTTTCAGTGTGAATAGGAAGCCTCCCAGATACAGTGACTCATCTATTCATCTTTATACAAAATGTTACTCTAAATCCAGTGTTGGCATATGCGAGTAAATCCCAAATGTGTTTTAAAAATGAAAGGTTGGGGAGAGGAGAGAGACTTCCCTATCTTATTTGCACAGAATAAGCACCTCCTCAGATTATCTGGTGGAGGAACCTCATACCTTGCAATCTGAAAACTCCAGAGCTCACAAGTTGCCCTGCTGGGGTCCTTTTGACTGCCCCTGATCTTTAATCATGTACTTCTTAATAAGTGTTTGGAGAAACCATTTTCCAGCAGCTGAATGATTATGGCATGTGGGGGTCTGCCCTTCTGGCCAAACCTATGTTGAATTTTAGCAGCCATGTATGCGCTCTTCTGCGGAGAGGCACACTAGTGTATGGGTGGAGGTGTAAAGTTGAGGCTAATTTCACAGCATGGATTTGTCAAGAACAACCCATGTCAAACCAACCTACCTTAATTCTTTGACAGGGTTACTGGCTGAGTGAATGGGGAGAAGCAGTAGACATGATACATCTTGATTTTAGTAAGGCTTTTGACACAGTCCCACATGACATTCTCATAAGCAAACTAGGGAAATGTGGTCTACGTTAAATTAATGCAGGGTGGATGTACAACTGGTTCAAAGACCACACTCAAAGTAGTTATCAATAGTTCGTTGTCAGACTAGGAGAACATGTCTAGTGGGGTCCCACAATGGTTGGTTCTGTGTCTGGTACTATTCAATATTTTCATTAATGACTTGTATAACAGAGTGGAGATTATGCTTATAAAACTTAGAGATAAAACAAAGCTGTGGAGGGGTTTCAAGCACTTTGGAGCATAGGATTAGAATTCAAAATGACCGTGGCAAATTGGACAATTGGTCTGAATTCAACAAGATGAAATTCAATAAAGATAAGGGCAAAGTACTTCACTTAGGAAGGAAAAATCAAATGCATAACTACAAAATGTGAAAAACTGGCTAGACAAAAGAACTACTTAGAACTACTTAGGGTGGTGTTATAGTGGATCACAAACTGAATATGAGTCAACACTGTGTTACAGCTGCAAAAAAGGCAAATATCATGTTGCAGTGTATTAACAGGAGTGTATGTAAGAGTTAAGAGGTAATTGTCACACTTTAACCAGCACTGGTGAGGCCTCAGTTGGGGTATTCTATCCAGTTCTGGGTGCTACACTTCAGGAAATATGTGAACAAATTGGAGAGAATCCAGAGGAGAACAGCAAAAATGATAAAAAGTTTAGAAAACCTGACCTATGAGGAAAGGTTAAAAACCAGGCCTGTTTAGTCTTGAGAAAAGAAGAGACTGAACGGCAACCTGATAAGTCTTCAAATATGTTAAGGATTGTTCTAAAGAGGACTCTGATCAATTGTTGTCCATATCCACTGAAGGTAGGACCAGAAATAATGGGCTTCCTCTACAGCAAAGGAGATTTAGGTTAGATATTAGGAAAAACTTTCAAACTGTAAGGATAGTTAAATACTGGAATAGGTTTCCAAGGGAGGTTGTGGAATCCCCATCATTGGACGCTTTTTAAGAACAGGTTGAACAAACACCTGCCAGGTGGCCTCAGCGCAGAGAGCTAGACTAATGACTTTTTGAGGTGCCTTCCAGTCCTACATTTTTCTATGATTTTGTGTTCCTTCTGCTCTGTCTTCATTACTTGTGATCCATCACAGACTAGTAATTCATACTGAGAAAAATAAATGGCTGTGCTTGAGATGGCAGTAATGAAAAAAGTCTTTGTGATGCAACCTGACACCAGGTGAGGCTTTCCTGCTTTTGGTTTCCTTGAAGGATGGAAGCTTGCATGGTTTATGGTGAAGTTTGCTCACATTCACAAACCTTTGAAGTACAGAGAGGCCTGAGAAAAAAGCCTCACTCCTGTCCCAATAAGTTTGGGAAGGTTAGGATCTCTACACAAACAATGGCTTAGGACCGTCTCTGCTCTGGAATGAAATTGCTTTGCTGTGTGATTTTTGCATTAAAATCCTATAGTTTCGCATGATCTTGGTGTAAATCCGGGGAATCTGGATGCTTCTAGGAGGCTTAAGGGAGAAGGTATAACTAGAACAGTTGTACTGAGCATGTGATGCTTCTTGCTTTATATCTGTGCTCCAGGATCTACACTGGTTTATGGTTACCTGTGAGGGAGTTGGTTGTAACCCTAAAAGCCTTAAAAGGTTTAGGTTCAGAATTTTTGAGGCCTTCCCTACAATAGAGAATTAAACTAGTTGTACTAAACCAGTTTCAGCACAAGCAGTTCAGTGTATATGCATTATCCATGCCTGAACCAGTTGAACGCACCCACGTTAGCCCTAGCCTAAACCATTGTTTTCTGGGTAGCTATCACACAGTTCCTGGCTTGGCTTCCAGAAGCAGTGCATTCTGGGAGAAGTTGCAAGATGACCAGTTGAACCATTTCAGCTTGCCTCTGTTCATGCTGGCACTAAACTGTTTCAGACTGAACTGGCTAAGCTTTAACCAGTTATTAAACCTTCTGGAAGGCTGGCTGTTCTAACTGGTTATGAAGCCATTTGGGGAACGTTCTTATGTGTGGATGCAATGTTTTCTAAGCAATTTGCTCTCACTAGGGCAGACCAGATCGCAGAGACAACTTCTTCCCTGTGTGATACCAGAGTAGTTCAGATCACTTGATGTGCTCAAGCTAGCAATCCACAGTTTAATCAGAAGGGGCTGGCAGCAGGGTGACTTCAGTGAAGGGTCCTTGTCTCTAGAACTGAGTTCCCCCATTGGTCCAGGAGAGCCTGGGTTTGTTGACCTTTAGGTCATCCTGCAAGTTTGATTTCTGCAAGGCTTTCTGTGGGAAAGAGGGCTGAGTGGGTGGTACAAGTCCCAGTTTGAGTGGGGCTGGGAGGACCTTGTATTTTGGACATTGTTTCTAGCATGTTTATGACTTCAGTGTTGTCTGGGTGCCCAGAGCTTGGGATGGGCCCAGATTGAAACAGAACAAAATAAATATAGTGAGAACTGATGTCATAGGAGAAGGGAAAAAATAGGCTGAATGTCAAGAGTAAAACCTTCTCTGGCAATGAGATGGCTTAATCAGTAGAACGGTCTGTCAGTTAAGGGAAGCGGTAGAAACTTTGTCCCAGGAGACATTGAAAATTAAACTGGACAATTGCCAATAGCATGTACTACAGGGAATTACCCTGCAATGGAAACTGATTAACTAAATGGGATCTAGTAGGTCCTCTCCATCTCTGACTTCCGTGAGCCAATTGAATTGTGCTTTTAGATTAATTTGTACTGACATCAAACATCAGGCGCAAAACCCAAGCGGATTAAAATGCAATTTACTGAATTTACTAGTCTCTAGTTCAGAAGCCTCAGTGAGAAGCAATGTAACTTAGTGGACACTGCACTGGACTGGGATTCAAGAGACTTGGGTTCTGTTCCTTCGCCAGCTAGCAGGGTGACCTTAGACACCGCTCTGTTTCTCAGTTTCCCCACCAGTAAAATAAGAGTAATGATATTTCCTTTTGTCAAGCTGCTTAAGCTCTACTAGGGAAAAGCTTTATATAAGAGCAAAGTGTTATAGATAACTGTGTTGGACAAAGCTGGGGAGACTATTCTGTGGAGTGCAATCCTACACATGTTCCCTGTATGTGATGGGGCAGAGAGATGGACTAACTGACCTTAGTAGTAGGACTTTTCCATCTCAGTCGTCTATCCTCCTGGATGTGGGTGTGAGTAGTGGTTGGTAATGCACCCTGTGATTGAGCTGGTACAGGGAAGTGCCACAGGAGCTCTAATACAGCATGTTCACTTTCTTTTCTAGGTCAACATGGATTCGTGGTTCTTTGTCCTCTTGCTTGGAAGTGGCCTGATGTGTCTAGGTGCGCACGTCACTACCTCAGGTGAGAGATGTTCATCGCTTCCTCTCCTTCTGGTTGTAAACAGTAGTCGGGATTGAATGAGGAGATCCTCAGATCCTTAGTGATTTATTGCCCTCATCCCCTTAATTACCTGCCATGAAGAAGTGTCTGACGGGAGTTGCAGATGGTAAAGATGATCAGTATATGGTGTCTGCTAGAAGATAATGCTGGGCCTGCAAACATCGAAGATCCTCACTTATTGTGTGTGTGTTTGTTTTTTTTAATTAGTCATGCTCAAAGTTAAGGTAGCAAAGGCAGGGGATAATATCTGTCTAAAACATCTGCTCTTCTATTGCCCTTATCACTGCAGGATCTAAAGCCATCTCCGTACTGTGGGATTGTTTTTTTTGCATTGATGTAGCTACAGTATGCAAATCCCAAGTGTACATGTGATGCAAGATGGAGCTTGCATTAGTGCAACATACCCAGCGACCTACTGGGATAAGATACATTGGTGCAGGCCCCATTGTGCACCAGTGCCGTGTGTTTATATTAAGGATTTGCACCAGTGTAACGTATCAGTGAAGTCTGACGATGCAATTCCCCAAGGCTAAGCAAGCCCTATATGCTGATTAAGCAATCTTACCAGTGGTCCAACTGAAAAATTCTTCCTTTCCGGACCCTAAGTCTAGTGTGTGTTTAGAGATACTGAGATTGCGTCAAGGTGTGTGCACTGGATACACCTATCACTGCCAGTGCATGCCAGGTAATAGGTGCTTTAGGAACACACAGATACTGTATCAGCAGGGTTTATGCAAATTCTTTATAATCCTTGGTTCATTGATTCCATTCAGGTGGACAATCCTGATTGCCTGATGGGGACAGGAGGGAAGTTTTACCCCACAGTGTGCTGGCTGGAACCCTGAGGCATTCGTTGCATTACCCTGAAGCATTTTTTAGTGGGCACATCCCACCTGACCAAAATCCTGCAATTGTGGATGATAGGCATTGGTGGCCTTTGTGCCTTCCTGTTGGCAATATCCCCCGCTGATCTTACTGCCATGACAGGGAATATAGTGGGAAGTCATCTTTTCCTCCATTCAGATCCTCACACAGTGCCAAGTAAAACTATATTTGGACTCTGTTAACTCAGTACAAACGTTTGCTGTGTCAAATGATAGTTGAGGTCAGCTGCATTTAATACTGTAAACCTGCCTTTTAAATAATCTATGGTTGAGAATGAATGGGAAGGATTGAGATTGTCACATATCCCTGGTTGTCTAGAGCCAGACCCAGCTCCCATTGAAGCCACTGGAAAGACTCCCAGGGATTTCAGTGGGAGCTGGATCAGACACCTACCAATCACTGAACTCCTGCGGTTCAGATGCAGGGCCTAATTCTCCTTTCACACTAGTGTTATTCTACTGAAGTCAATGGAGTTGCACTGAAGTAAAGTCAGAGGAGAATTGGTCCCATTTGGTGTTCCCAGGTTCAGCTGCCCCAGTGTTGGGGAGGGGAAGGAATAAAAGGACATTGGAGGTTATCTTGTGCTTTGTTACTTTCAGTGCCACCGTCCGTAGAGCACACCTCCACCAAGCATTCCGTGAAAGCCCCTACATCAGAGCCAGATGGCGGAAAGGGCACTAATCCAAACAGTCTGAATGCTAGCTCTCCAATGACCGTACCTAGCATGGCACCTGGGCCTACTACCACGCAAGCCACAGAGCTCCCTCCTCACACCACTGTCAGCTTGCTGGGTAATGAAACCCATACCATGAGGACAACTGTGCCTGCACCTGGGTCCACCTCCAGTCCACCCAGCACGACGTCTTCTGCTGCACAAACCGCTTCACAAGACATAAAGACAGTGCCTGCAATGGGGAACATCACTGTGGCAGTAACTTCTCCAGAAACCATTGTCACTTCAGGTATGGCAAGGACACTTTTCATTCCTTCCTCTTCTTCCCTGTGCTCCAGGCCCCTCGCCCCTTTAATACTGGCTTTATTCTTTTTTCTGTTTGCTGAGAACATTTGGAAACCAGAAGTAAACTTTTTAGGGCCAGCTCCCCAGCTGGTGTAGACTGGCCCCTCTCCATTGAAATGAATGGAGCAAAGTTGACTTACACCAGCTGATGATCTGGCCCTTATACTTAGAAGACAGGGAAATGAAACCCAGGCTGTGTCCAGGGAAGAACAATGGTATGTGGCTAAGGCACAGGACTGGGATGCCAGGAGTCCTGATTTCTAGTCCCATTTCTGCCACAGGTTTTGGGCCAGTCACATCACCACTATCTCTTTCCTCATCTGTCTGGTGATACCCAGTCCCAAGGGTTGCGAAGTCATTCTTTAAAAGAACACATAAGCAAGAAAAAAAACTCACTGGGATCCTGCTCAGCTGAAGTGCTTTAGTGGTCCAAAGGGCAGATATTATCACTCTGTATTTGTATTTTGATAGCACCTAAGGACCCAGTCAGGGAGCAGGGACTCCTCATACTGGGCATCATACAAACACATATGAAAAACACGGTCCCTGCCCCAAAGAGCTGATGATCTAGGTCACCGTTCTGAATGGGATCCAAGAAGGAATTGCCCAGGAAAGGGATCAGGGCCCCCTAACAGTAGGTACTGAACAAGTGAATAACACAATGGCGGTCCCTGCTCCAGAGAACTTACAGTAAAGGCCACTTTTATAAATGTGGCCCTTGATTTCTGTGCCGCAGATTCTTTGTGTAACCTGAGAGACTGTGTGGTTCAGTGGCTAAGGCACTGGCCTGGGGGGCAAAAGACCTGAATTCTATTCCTAGCTCTAACCTGCTGTGTAATCTTGGGATCATTTCGTTCATCTGTGCTTCAGTTTCACATCTGTATAATGAAGAGAATACTTCCTGTTGGGAGAGATTCTCAGTCCTGTTATGCTGTGGGTCTGACTAGATGGCCATAGTTGTCCTTTCTGGTGTTAAAATCTATGATTATGTAAAAAGGGGGAAATCACTCTGCCACACAAGAGGGTTTCAAGCGCTTTGTGATCCACAGATGGAAAGGGCTGTAGAAGTGCTGGGGATTGGAATAACAATGTCTGGTGAAAGGAGTAAGGGTTCAGTCACTGACACTCATTATGGTTTGTTTTGCTTTCTCTAGGTGAGCCGTCAAAAGGCCCAGGTAAGCGCTTACCATTAGACACTCACTCTCTATCCTAGGGCCTGACTGGTTTTAATTGAACCCTTGTTTCGATCGTTCTTCATATTAAGGTACCATTAATATATATTTTATAAAGGGTTAATAAATGACTGATAAATGTTATATGCATGTTACAGACACAAGTAGCATGTGTTATCAATTGTTATAAGCGCCTCACTAAAAAGTGTTTAGAGCGGATCATAAGCCATGGTTATAAGCAGCCTGATGGACTCAATAACAATCAATTAACTACATCTAGTAGTTTATCAACTCTTTGTAAACTATTTATAAATGGATTTGTATGGTGAAGTGTGAGCCTTGTTTCTGAATGGTTGGTTCTACCTTTTTTTACTCAAGCTTCCTCACTGGTCCCAGGTGTCTGCCTTGCCATTCCCAGGAGGGAAGTGGGTCCGTGGAAGGAGATGGGGGTGGGCTTTTTCCCTAGCATGAATGTTCAAAAGAAGCTGGCTTTGTAAAAGCTGGAAACTCTGAGAGAAATGCACTTTAAATCTCCAAAGCCCTTTCCATTTATTTTTAGGCTTTGAACTTTGTGTTCAGTGAATGATTTGGTTCTTTTATGTTTTGGAAGCAGTACCTGTTCATCCCTCGCCTCCTTTTCCTCTCCCCACCTCCTCCAGCCCATATGCCATGTGCATGTCACAAAGTTTTAAGGAAGACAATTGTTTTATGCTGCTGCTGACTTATCAGGAGATACTACAAGTAAGAAAAACACAAACAAGGATCACAGAAGTTAGAGGCTGAGAGAGACCTATTAGGTCACATCTGGTCCATCCCCTGCCAGTCCATAGCTGTTCCCTATAGTGCTTTGTCTTACAAGTGTGTGTCTTGCAGGGTAGCCATTCCTGGAATTCTTGGACCCAGCTTCTTTATTGGATCAGGTCTTCATCTGATAAAAATTGGCATCACCCCATTAAAGGCAATGGAACTATTCTGATTTACACCAGCTGAGGATCTGACCCATAGTCTTTAGACGCATGCATGAATGCACGCACATGGCCACTGTTCTCTGTTGCACTGGTGTAGAATTATGCCCAGTGGGTAGCTACATGCAGTCACATTCTTAGGGGGCTCTTGTCTTTCTCACTGAGCCTTGGATGGTGCAAACAGAACTCAGATTTTACATAGCAGCAGCCCCCACTTCAGAGTCTGCTCAGCCTGACTGTGATCTCTGGATTCATCTTTCTGTCTGGCAGCACTTTTTGCTTCCTCCTTCACTAGGCAAAGCTAATGGGACAAGTACAGGACTCTCTCTTAAAGGGGGCAATTTGCTTATGTGCTGAGACCCCAGTGTGAGGTTAAGTGGCAATAAAAGTGAACAGGGTTCTCAGTGCTACAAGCCAGCATGTATTAGAATGTAATAAAAAGCTTGAATTCCATTTGAAAATGGTATTTGTCATACTTCCACTGTTTACAAACAAGTGATTTCTTTGCCTTAAGAATTTCCTCAGTCTTGTGCTAGTTTTACTCCTGTTCTGTTTGCCACTGCATATTATATTTTTATACAAAATAACCTTGAGTTCTTCTCAGTTTATTTTTTATAGTCCATTTCAGTAGCCATTGAAACCTTTGTCTGCCCATCCTTCCTGGACCTGATGAGTGGTCTGTTTCTAGCAGTACCAGCCCCAACTGCTCAAAAATCATGAGTCAGGTCTCAAAAACAAGATCAGTTTAAATATCATGAGATTTGGGGGAAAAAAAGTTGCAGTTATTTTATTTGGTTTCTGAGACATTAGGGCTCACTCAGCTCATGTTTTCAAATTTTTCTCCACAACCAGAACAGCTAAAAATGTACTTTTTTTTATTGAAATGAAAGCTGAGGTTCTCATGTAATCACAGCACTCCAGGAGATAGGGAGTCAAAAGAAGAACCAAATACTGTGAAGGAGGCACTAAAAACACAGGGGTTAATTGTGTCACAATATTGTTCGGTCTCAATTTCTAACACACACACACACACACACACACACCCCCCCCCAGTTCTTCTTACAATTTGTATTTCTGTGTGGCTAAGATATTCATGTTTTGTCCTTTTTTGTTGTGCAGGTGATTCTGATCCGGACAGAAGAGGTGAGAAGTTCACATCTTATTGCCATGTTATGTCCGTATACTGTGTATTCCTCTGCTAAGCGTCACCAGCGGTGCTTTGGGTTTTTTTAATAGTGTTTGAAAGAACAGAATGCGTTCTTAGGGGCAGGATATCGAAAGTGCTCAGGGGCCAGTTTTTCAAGAGCTCATCACCTATTATTGGACTAGATGAGCTCAGCTTCCATTTAGATATCCAAGTAAGGTCCAGATTTTCAGAAGTATTCAGCCACCCAGAAGCTCCCCATGTGACCATTCTGATCAGATTTTTGAAAGTGCTTTCTGCCTAATGATATCTTAAACACAAAAAAGAAGCTTCCAAGAAGTGGAAGACTGGACAAATGACCAGGGAAGAGTGTAAAAATATTGCTCGGGCATGCAGGAGTGAAATCAGGAAGGCCAAATCACACTTGGAGTTGCAGCTAGCAAGGGATGTTAAGAGTAACAAGAAGGGTTTCTTCAGGTATGTTAGCAACAAGAAGAAGGTCAAGGAAAGTGTGGGCCCCTTACTGAATGGGAGAGGCAACCTAGTGACAGAGGATATGGAAAAAGCTAATGTACTCAATGCTTTTTTTGCCTCTGTCTTCATGAACAAGGTCAGCTCCCAGACTATTGCACTGGGCAGCACAGTATGGGGAGGAGGTGAGCAGCCCTCTGTGGAGAAAGAAGTGGTTCGGAACTATTTAGAAAAGCTGGACAAGCACAAGTCCATGGGGCCAGATGCACTGCATCTGAGGGTTCTAAAGGAGTTGGCGGATGTGATTGCAGAGCCATTGGCCATTATCTTTGAAAACTCATGGTGATCAGGGGAGATCCCGGATGACTGGAAAAAGGCTAATGTAGTGCCCATCTTTAAAAAAAGGGAAGGAGGAGGATCTGGGGAACTACAGGCCAGTCAGCCTCACCTGAAATCATGGAGCAGGTCCTCAAGGAATCAATTTTGAAACCCTTAGAGGAAAGGAAAGTGATCAGGAACAGTCAGCATGGATTCACCAAGGGCAAGCCATGCCTGACTAACCTAATTGCCTTCTATGACGAGATAACTGGCTCTGTGGATGAGGGGAAAGCAGTGGACGTGTTATTCCTTGACTTTAGCAAAGTTTTTGATACGGTCTCTCACAGTATACTTGCAAGCAAGTTAAAGAAGTATGGGCTGGATGAATGGACTATCAGGTGGATAGCTAGCTAGCGAGATTGTCATGCTCAACGGGTGGTGATCAATGGCTCCATGTCTGTTTGGCAGCCGGTATCAAGTGGAGTGCCCCTAAGGTCGGTCCTGGGGCCAGATTTGTTCAATATCTTTATTAATGATCTGCAGGATGGCGTGGATTGCACCCTAAGCAAGTTTGCAATTGACACTAAACTGAGAGGAATGGTAGATATGCTGGAGGATAGGGATAGGATACAGAGGGACCTAGACAAATTAGAGGATTGGGCCAAAAGAAATCTGATGAGGTTCAACAAGGACAAGTGCAGAGTCCTGCACTTAGGACGGAAGAATCCCATGCACCTCTACAGACTAGAGACCAAGTGGCTAGGCAGCAGTTCTGCAAAAAAGGACTTAGGGATTACAGTGGACGAGAAGCTGGTTATGAGTCAGTGTGCCCTTGTTGCCAAGAAGGCTAACGGCATTTTGGGCTGTATAAGTAGGAGCATGGCCAGCAGATCGAGGGATGTGATCATTCCCCTCTCTTCAGCATTGGTGAGGCCTCATCTGGAGTATTGTGTTCAGTTTTGGGCTCCACACTACAAGAAGGATGTGGAAAAGTTGGAAAGAGTCCAGCAGAGGGCAACAAAAATGATTAGGGGACTGGAACACATGACTTATGAGGAGAGGCTGAGGGAACTGGGGATATTTAGTCTGCGGAAGAGAAGAATGAGGGGGGATTTGATAGCTGCTTTCAACTACCTGAAAGGGGTTCTAAAGACTCATAGACATTAAGGTCAGAAGGGACCATTATGATCATCTAGTCTGACCTTCTGCACAATACAGGCCACAGAATCTCAGCCACACACTCCTGCAATAAACCTCTCACCTATGTCTGAGCTAGTGAAGTCCTCAAATCATGGTTTAAAGACTTCAAGGTGCAGAGAATCCTCCAGCAAGTGACCTGTGCCCCATACTGCAGAGAAAGGCGAAAAGCCCCCAGGGCCTCCTCCAATCTGCCCTGGAGGAAAATTCCTTCCCGACCCCAAATATGGCAATCAGCTGAACCCTGAGCATGTGGGCAAGATTCACCATCTAGATACCCAGGAAAGAATTCTCTGTAGTAACTCAGATCCCACCCCATCTAACATCCCATCACAGGCCATTGGGCCTATTTACCATGAATAGTTAAAGATCAATCAATTGCCAAAATCATGTTATCCCATCATACCATCTCCTCCATAAACTTATCAAGCTTAATCTTGAAGCCAAATAGGTCTTTTGCCCCCACTGCTTCCCTTGGAAGGCTGTTCCAGAACTTCACTCCTCTGATGGTTAGAAACCTTCATCTAATTTCAAGTCTAAACTTCCTGATGGCCAGTTTATATCCATTTGTTCTTGTGTCCACTTTGGTACTGAGCTTAAATAATTCCTCTCCCTCCCCAGTATTTGTCCCTCTGATATATTTATAGAGAGCATGGATTGATCTAGACTGTTCTCAGTGGTAGCAGATGACAGAACAAGGAGTAATGGTCTCAAGTTGCAGTGAGGGAGGTTTAGGGTGGATATTAGGAAAAACTTTTTCACTAGGAGGGTGGTGAAGCACTGGAATGCGTTACCTAGGGAGGTGGTGGAATCTCCTTCCATACTGGTTTTTTAAGGTCAGGCTTGACAAAGTCCTGGCTGGGATGATTTAGTTGGGGATTCGTCCTGCTTTGAGCAGGGGATTGGACTAGATGACCTCCTGAGGTCACTTCCAGCCCTGATATTCTATGATTCTAATGTGTTTGGGCTCTGTAGAAAATCTGGCCCCTGCCTGGCACCTGTGGATGTTAAATTCTTTTGAAAAAAGTGCTTCTATTGGGGGTGCCAAACTCTTTTAAAAAATCTGGCATTAGAATCTCCATAGATCTGGGTAAATAATTTGTATCTATGAGAGCTATTTGAAGAATTTACCTCTCCTTTTCTGCTTGGGAATTGCCTGTTAATCATGATTTCCCCTAATGTGTTCATTTTTCAAAGTATTTGCCAAATAATTCCTGTGAATAATTCTTGTTCATGAGCAGATCTGCCAGCAAATAATCAAAATTCCAGCTGTTTTGATTATAATGATAGGTCATTTGGTCTGTTTCTGTCATGTGATTAGTTGAGTTTAGTTTAGACACTCAGGTTTCCCTCTGGAATATTTGCAATTACAAATTAATTCAGAAATATAGGAATTGCCAGACCGGAGCAGACCATTGGTCTTTTTTGTTTGGTTTTCTGTACTTTGAAATTAGCTTTCTGCAGATATTTTAGCAATACTCTGTTCAGTGTTTCAGCTAGATTAGGTTACAAGGTGCTCCAGTTAATTTGGTTAGATTTGCAACTCTCATGATTCTATGCACAGTGTAAATAACTAGTTAGATACTCTGTTTCTGCAAATGTTCTTGTCAATAAACATGTTTGCTAGAACATTCTCAGAAAGTGAAAACAAAAGGGATACAGGCCAAGTGAATTCATTTTAAAATTTGGCTGTACACCTATGGAAACTTTCTGCACAGTTCCCCTACCTCCAGCACAGCATGTGTATTGTTCAGTGCTCTCTCACACCTGCAGATGCTGAAACAAAAAATTGCAAAAATGTGATTTACTTTTTATCTCTGCTGCTGTTAGTTTATTTTTTGCACTTCACTGGCTTGGATAGTTAAACTAAGCTGGTCAAGTTCATTTCCTGGTTCTTAGGGACCAGTGAAAGGTGTTGATGTTTTCAGTAATGCAAGGGGGATATTTAAAGGAACACCCACGTTTTTTGAGTTGCGCTTTTTTTGTTTTGTTTTTTTTAAGTGTCATGAACTTTTGTTCCCATTCGATACAACAAAACGTTTTTATTGCCTGAACCTAATTTTTTTGCCCTCTGTGAGGTTGCACTAGGGTACCTGAGAGCAGAATTTTATTCTGTGAACCAGATCTTCTGTTGGTGTAACTCACTGTAACTCCATTGAAGTCAGTGAGTTACACTGATTTATACCTGCTGCAGATCGGCCTCATATTTTCATTCTGATTTTACTCTTCTTTGTGTCCAGATACTCTAGTGTGGTGCCTGAACCTGCATTATTTACTCATGCAAGAGCTCCCCTTGGACCTGGTTTGGTTTCTTTTACAATGATGTGTACATTAAATAGTTCCATTGACTTCAGCGATGTTATGACACTGTGAAACCATGACAGAGATTAAAATCAGGCTCATTAGCTGACTTCATCAGGACTGGTTGCTGCAGGATCAGGCCTGTTATGAATAGAGCATCTTAAAAATTACACTGGAGTTTTCCTTTAAATGTAAGGAGCATTGTGAGCAAACATTATGAAGAGTTTATAGGGAAGTGAAGGCTTTGAGCAAATATAGTTTGTCTTCTTTTAAGTCAGGGCAAATGCCCTTTGGGAGCTACTTACTTTAAAAAAATGTATCTAGTATCGGGAAGAGGGAAATTGCTGGTACGCTTGTAAATAAATTGGTTAGTCTCTAAGGTGCCACAAGTACTCCTTTTCTTCTTGTAAAGAAAGTTACAGCAATATCTTTAACAATATCTTTAATACACTTCAAAACTTATCCCCCTTAACAAATTTCTAGTGGTGTCTCTAATGCAAGCAAGATAAAGGAGCTTTCACTGAAAGTGAGTGAAAATGTTCTGTATTTTTTTTCCCCCCGTGATCATTAAACTTTCAAGAGGAGTGGTGAAAGATGGTAAATGTCAGAGAATAAATCACACTTTGGCTACTTATTATTTAGGGCTGTTATATAAAAAACAAATAACCCTTTAATTTTACTTATACACTCTGTGTGTGTGTGTGTGTGTCTC